AGGGTGGAGGGTCAACGAAAAAGGGGGAGGCCTTCAACGAGATGGATTGACATGGTGGCTGCAATGATGGGCTCAAGTATAGCAGGGATTGTGGGGCTAGCGCGGGATTGGGCAGTGTTTCGTTCTGCTGTGCATGGGGTCGCTATGAGTCGGAAACGACTCAAAGGCACTTAACAACAAACAACATCATACCACATTAAAAAATGAACTCAAGTTGGATCAAAGACCTGAACATAAAACTCAAAACCTTAAAGATGATCAAAGAAAAAAATAGGACAAACTTAACAGCCCTGATTCAGGGCAAAACTACATTATTGAATATAACTAAAAATGCACAAACACCACAAAACAAAATAGATGGCTGATACCTTATAAATATTAGACACTTATGTGCATCCAAGATCTCAGAAAAAGAGTAAAAAGAGAACCCACAGACTGGGAAAACAATTTTGGTAATGATGCATCAGACAAGAGGATAACCTCTAAAATTTATAGAAAACTTCAACACTTTAACAACAAAAAGACAAATAATCCAATTGAAAAATGGGTGGAGGACATGAGCAGACACTTCACCAAAGACGACATCCAAGCAGCTAACAAACACGTGAAGAAATGTTCACAATCATTAGCCATTAGAGAGTATCAAATAAAAATAAAAATGAGATAACATCTTACCCCAGCACTAATAGCAAAATTCAAAAAAAGCAGAAAACAACAATTCTGGTGAGAGCGTAGAGAGACTGAAACCATCATACACTGCTGGTGTGATTGTAAAATGGTGCAACCACTATGGAAAACTGCATGGTAATACCTTAAAAAGCTGGAAATAGAAATACCATCTGATCCAGCAAGCCCACTACTAGGCATATATCTTAGAGAAATAAGAGTTGTGACACAAACAGGTGTATGCACACCTATATTCATCAGGAACTCTGGTAGCGTAATGCCTAAGGTACTTGACTGCTAACCAGAAGGTTGGTGGTTCAAACCCACCAGCCACTTCTCAGAAGGAAGTTTGGGCAATCTACTTCTGTAGTGATACCACATCAGAAATCCAAGGAGGGGTCGCTATGAGTCAGAATCAACTCAACGGCACATAACAACAACAACACAACATGTTCATCACAGCACTATTCACAACAGCTAAACAATGGAAACACAACTAAATGTCCATCAGTGGAGAAATGGATCAACTAACTATGGTACACGATAGAATGCTACATAATGTTAAAAAATAATGATGAATCTGGGAAACATCTTATAAATGGATTACCTTAAGGGCCATTATGCTGAGTGAATTTAGTCAGTCACTAAAGGATAAATATTGTATGAGACCAATCTTGTAAGAAGTCAAAAAGCGGTTTCACAAAAAAAAAAAAAAAAATCTTTAATGGTTACCAGGGGTGTGAGGGCAGGGGAAGGTAAACCAGTAACTAGAGGGTAGAAAAAGAAAAGAAAAGAAATAATGACATGGTAGCTTTCAACATATTACTATTTTCCAATAAATTTGCTGACTGGTGTTACTAAAGTAAAGCTAAAGGCCTCTAATTTGACATTATATGGGTTAGTGATGCCAGGGAGTTCCCTAACTTTTGTTGAGAGTTACAAGAACTGAAAAGAAAATCTCCACACCTGTTAGCTGCTCTATATGATTATACTGATTGTTCATGAAACTAAAACTTTGAGGTTATAACCAAACACTCATTAACTTAGTAAGTTCTGTGGAGGTAAAGGCTGACACAGTTTTAGATTAAGTGACATCTTGTAAGCAAATCCTTTCATCTTTTAAGACACAGCCATGCCTTGCTATTTGGAGAAGAGAGAAATAGTGCTATTTTTCCTTCACTTTACAAATGTGTATGGGCTACAGGAATGACTTTATGATGTTCACACTGATGGCTTTTGTAAAACAGAATTCAAAACTGGGTCAACAAACTATCCTTATAAAAAATAGGATATTTGTATTCTCTAAAAAGTAATTAAAAAGAGAAAAAAGAAAGAAATTGAACAGTATATTGTATTTGGCAAATCTGCTGCAGAAGACCTCTTTAAAGTATTAAAGAGCAAAGATGTCACTTTGAAGACTAAGGCATGCCAGACCCAAGCCATAGTATTTTAAATAGCCTCATGTTGTTGTTGTTATGTGCCTTCGATTCGGACCCGACTCATAGCAATCCCTCCTTGGGTTGCCAAGGCAGTTTCACTATGGAAGTAGATTGCCCCATCTTCCTTCC